CCATCCTGACAAGTTTGGGAGTCATAATAGATCTACCTCATACACAGAGACAAGATGGGGAAACAAAGAAATATGCTCCAAAGGAAAGAACAGGAGAAATCTCTAGAAAAGGAGTTCAATTAAATGGAAGCAACTAAAATACCAGATGCAGAGTTGAAAACAATGGTTATAAGAATGCTCAAGGACTTCCTGGCTGGCTTGGCTCAGCGGTAGAGCGTTGGACCATGGACCAATGAGTCGCGGGTTCAATTCTATCCAAGGGCACGTACTTTGGTTTTTGTCCCTGCCACTGGTCAGGGCCATGCGGGAGGCAACCAGTCGATGTGTCCCTCACACACTGATGTTTCTCTTTCTCTTCCTTTCTCTCTCTCCCACTCTATCTGAAGATAAATAGAAAATATCCCCGGGTGAGGATTAAAAAGAAAAATATAAAAAATAAACAACAAGAAGAAGCCTGAAACACCAACCAGAAAGAATACATGTACCCCTATGTTCATAGCAGCATTATTTACAATAGATAAGATCTGGAAACAGCCCAAGTACCCATCGGTAGAGGAGTGGATAAAAAAGCTGTGGTACATTTGCTCAATGAAATACGATGTGGCCATTAAAAAGAAGGAAATCTTACCCTTTGAGATAGCATGGATGGACCTGGAGACTATTATGCTAAGCGAAGTAAGCCAATTAGATAAATACAAATATATGATCTCACTTACATGTGGAATCGAATGAACAAAATAAGCTGAAGAACAAATAAGTCCAGAAACACTGACTCATGGAACAGAATAACAGATCTTAGTGGTGGGTGGCGTGTGGGAGGGAACAGAAGGAGACTAACCAAAGAACATGTATGCATAACCCACGGGCCCAGACAATCGCATCGGGAAGGCCTGGGGTGGGCAGGGGTTAGGTGGAGGGGAGCATAAGGGAAAAATTGGGAGGCATCCGTAATAAAGTCAACCATAAAAATGGCAGCAGTAATGAATTCTAATATTGTGTGTCAAGCACAATGTTACCTAAAAGGCTCTATATGGATTTGCCGTATAATTCTCGCCTACCTTTGGTCAGTCACAAGCACATCCAGAAGAGAAGCGAGAAGAAGGAACCTCAGGGTTATTTCTCGTCCAAGCTAGAGGTGTGGGAAGGGGTTTGTGAGGTCTACGTGGTTCTGAAAAGTAGATCTGGAGAAGCATGAAAGTGTTGAATGCCCGCCTCGTGCTATGTGCGTGAGTGTGCGTTTCTGAGTATGTGTGAGTGTGTACGTGTGAGTGTGTGTTCACGGGGTCACAGCACGTGTCTGGTTGAGGGAAGCATAAATGAAGGCTGAGGTCGGAGGGTCGCATCTGGACGGCCATGAGCCGCCTTCCACTCGGAATGAAGAGTCCGGATTTACCATAAAGACAGTGAGGACCAGGAAGAGATTGATGGACAGATTCTGGAAGGAAGTTAGACTCCTATGTGGAGGATGAACTGGAGAAGGGAGTGAGGGTGTGGAGCTAAGAACTCAGGGAAGAAGTAGACATGACCACTGCCTTGGGGGGTGGGGAGTTGACCTTCCCTTCCTGCCTTGCTGATGGGGACAGCAAGGTGCCCTCAGAGACAGGGAGCCAAGGGGTGGGGGAGGGACGAGCCTGGGGGCTGTGCAATGTGCTTCTGCTCCCACAGGGCAGCTCAGCCCTTCCTCTGGCCCTGGATCCCAGGTTGTCCTCACACTGTTTCCACCTGACTTTCTGTTTCTGTGAGCAGGGGGATCTCTCCTTCCATCTCCTTGGGGTAAATCATTTGAGTCATGTCTGCCTTTTCAAGCTGGGTGTCACCTTTTTTTAAAAAAAATTTATATCTTATTTTATTTTTATTTTTATTTATTTATTTATTTTTTTTATCCTCACCGAGGACATTTTCCCATTTTTTGTTCAGATAGAGCTGGAGGGAGAGAGAGGAAGAGAGAGAGAGAGAGAGAGAGAGAGAGAGAGAGAGAGAGAGAGAGAGAGAGAGAAACATCGATGTGAAAGGGACACATCGAGTGGCTGCCACCCGCACGACCAACCAGGGCCGGGGACAAACTGCAACCAAGGTACGTGCCCTTAGCGGGAACCGAACCCGGGTCTCTCTGGACCGCAGGCCGACGCTCCAACCGCTGAGCCAAACCGGCCAGGGCATCTTATTTTATTTTTTTAATTAATTTATTTTTGTTACAGATGTTTCTCCCCCCACTGATCCCCCCCCCTCTCTCTCACCCCACCCTGTCCCCAGCTTTGTCGTCCATGTCCATTGTTCATGCACACATGCATATAAGTTCTGTAGTTTATCTCTCCCCCACCACCCCCTCTTTTGGGGATTGTCAGTCTGTACCCCACTTCCACATCTCTGGGACTACCCCATTCCTCAGACTGTTATGTTCATTATATTCCACAGATAAGTGAGATCATATGACACTTGTCTTTCTCTGTTTGGCTTGTTTCATTTAGGATGATACTTTCCAGGTCCCTCCCTGTCATCTCAAAGGATAAGAGATCTTTCTTTTCTACAGCTGCATAGTACTCCATTGTGTATATGTTGGGTGTCATCTTTGAAGCTGGGCGTCACTCTCCTCTTCAAACCGTGGAGACCTCTCAGGATTCAGACAAAATGGACACTCATGAGAGTCCTGTCTGAAGGCAGTAAACACACACACACACACACACACACAGTGTAAATATCCGTTGTGACACTACCCTCTGAATGGCTGAAGGACACTTGAGCAGTGTACGTCCTCTCTTAGTCTCACTTCCCTGATTTCTAGCTCAGGGATCCCAACCCCAGCCCCACCAATGTGGCGAGAACACTTCTTGATTTTGATACGGAGGAAGTGAAACCAGTCATCCAAAGCAGATGGAAATTTTGGAGGCTTGAGAAATTTAGATTCCTCGTCCAGTGAGGCAGAAGGAAGAAGCCAGACTCAGACCACTCGTGTGGAGTCACCTGAATCATTACGGAGATCCTCGCAGGGCAGGGGGCAGATCCTGGTCTCTCCCTCACACTGTGCTGGACCAGTTGGTGCGTCTACGCAACAAGGTGAACTTCCGAACCTGCCTCGTATCGTCCACAAAGTCGATGTCAGATAGACTAGAGGTCAAAATATGAAGAGTAAATCAATCGCTTTTTCTTTAGCAAAAATAACAGGAAACTATCTCATTAGTTTGTGGGAGACAAAGTTTACTTCTTAAACATTTTTTAAAATTGTTGAGAGTATTGTAGATGCCCCCCATTTCCCCCCCTTTGTCCCCCTCAACCCAGCTCCCGCCCCACCCCAGTTCTTCACTGCACTATTATCTGGGTCCATTGGTTATACATGTATGCACATAAGTTCTTTGGTTAATCTCTTCCTTCCCCCCGCCCTCCTTCCCTCTGAGATCTGTCAGTCTGTTTCATGCTTCCGTGTCTCCGGACCTATTTTGTTCTTTAGTCTAGTTTCTTCATTAGAATCCACATAGAAGTGAGATCAAGTGATACTTGTCTTTATCCAACTGGCTTATTTTACTCAGCAAAATAATCTCCAGATCTCTCCATGTTGTCTCAAAGGGCAAGAGATATTTCTTTCTTACAGCGGCTAGTGTTCCACTGTGTTTTTATCCATTCGTCTACTGATGGACACTTGGGCTGTTTCCAGATCTTACCTATTGTAAATAGAGCTGCTATGAACATAGGGGTACATATATTCTTTCTGGTTGGGGTTTCAGGTTTCTTAGGGTATATTCCTAGAAGTGGGATCACTGGGTCAAATGGCAGTTCAATTTTTAATTTTTTGAGGTAACACCGTTTTGTTTTCCATAGTGGCTGCACCAGTCTGCATTCCCACCAGCAGTGTACTAGAGTCCCCTTTTCTCCACACCCTCGCCAGCACTTGTTGTTTGATGGTTTGTTGAAGGCGGCCATTCTGACAGGTGAGAGGGGATACTTCATAGTTGTTTTAATTTGCATCACTCTGATGATTGGTGACGTTGAGCAATTTTTTATATGTCTATTGGGCATCTGTATGTCCTGTTTGGAGAGGTGTCTATTTAGATCCTCTGCCCATTTTTATTTCTTTTTTCTTTTATTTTTTAAATCATTTTTTATTAATTTATTTTTGTTACCGATGTTTCTTCTTTAATTGGATTGCTTGTCTTCCTGGTGTTGAGTTGTATGAGTTCTTTGTCTATTTTAGAAACTCACCCCTTATCGGATGTATCATTGGTGAACATGTTCTCCCGTACAGTGAGTTCCCTTTCCATTTTGAAGCTGGTTTCCTTTACTGTGCAGAAGCTTTGGGACACAAAACCACGAACTTAGAGGAAAATGGGCTCAGTGGGATCCACTACTACTCGGAAGTTCTGTTCTTTGTCAACACCAGCTTGAGAGCAAAAAGGAAGCTACACCGTGGACACCGTGGGAGAAGAGGGTTGTGATGCCACAATGAGACGATGGACTGGGACTCAGGTCACTGAAGAAACAGCCACAAAGCTGTCACCTGAAAGCAGACAACAGGAAGGCAAGCAAGAAACTCGAGCAAGCAACTCACACTGACGTGCAAACGTGCAGTAATGTTTGTAAAAGGTGGTGAGTTTTGTACATCATCCAAGAAACGTACAGTAAATCACAGGGTGGTACCAATACATGCACTGAATGGCTAAAAAAAAAAAAAAAGCAGAAAACACTAAGTGTTGGCGTGGATGTGGACCTGCCGGCACCCTCAGACACAGGGACAGTTGTGGAAATGCGGTGGCCACTGGGAAACTCCTCAGCAGAATCTATGAACAGTGAGCCCCCTCAGGAGCTGTGGTCAGATTCTCATTGTGCTGTTTAGCGCCCGGCTGTCAGGGGCTGAGTCAAGCCCAGAACCGGGTCCCACCCTCTCTGAGCAGGAGTTTGGACGAGGCGGAGAGATGAGACCCTGACAATCAGGAGAGACGTCTGATATTGCTGAGCTGTCTCCTGAGATAGTTCACTCCTCCTGATCCCTCATCCTGGGGAAACCCAGAGCCAGGCCCCGTCGGGGGAGTCCCCTGCTGTGGGTGCCCAGCTGTGCGAACCCGGAAGGCAGCAGAAGCTCCTGACTCACCACTTCCTGTGCATCTCCGTCCTCAGGCGCAGGGTCCCGTCCATCTGCAGAGCACTCAGAGCAGGTGCCATGACGTCCCTCCTCCCCGCTCTTCTCTGCCTCGGTCAGTTGTGGATGTGGGGAAGGGGTAGGTGGCTACACCCCTTGTTCATGCAGAACCTCAGACTCAGGCAGCTCTAGTGGACGGGCCCTGATGGGAAGGGAATCAGCTTGTCATCTGGGTGCAAATCTCTGACTGGGTCTCTCTTCCAGGGCTGAGTCTGGGCCAGAGGACGAACACGCAGGCAGGTGAGTCCTCCCAGGCTCCATGTCCACCTCTTACTTCACCTCTGGGGCTCAGGAGGGAGCCCAGAGATCTTGGGATGAGGTGATAAAGTGTGAGGGTCCTGAGGAGAGCAAGGGAATGAGGGGTGGGGAATGTTTTTGTAATCAACCTCTGGTTTTCTTCCAGGGACCCTCCTCAAACCTGACATCAGGGCTGATCCAGGTTCTGTCATCTCCTGGGGGAGCAGCGTTACCATCTCCTGTCGGGGGACCCAGGAAGGCAATGAGTTCTATCTGTATAAAGAAGAAATACATCATCAATGGAGGTCCATAAACAAGGGCAAGTTCTCCATCAATCAAGTGACAGGCAATGATGCAGGGAGATATTACTGTTACTATCGCAGCCCCTCTGGCAGGTCAGCGCTCAGTGACACCCTGGAGCTGGTGGTAACAGGTGAGGGGACATTCAGGGGTCCCAGCCTCAGGCTCTGCCCTCAGGAAGGGGCTGCTCTCAGGGCCTCTGCCCTCTCACAGCCCAGCCCTGGGGGACACGAGGGAGGTGTGACCCCATTTAACATTCTGCCTCCTCCCCTCCTAGGATCCTACAGCAAACCCAGCCTCTCAGCCCTGCCCAGTCCTGTCGTGACCTCAGGAGAGAACGTGACCCTCCAGTGTGGCTCAGGGCAGGGGTTTGACAGGTTCATTCTGAGAGAGGAAGGAGAACTCAGGCTCTCCTGGACCCTGGACTCACAACGACACAGCACAGGGCAGTACCAGGCCCTGTTCCCTGTGGGCCCCGTGACCCCCAGCCACAGATGGATGTTCAGATGCTATGGCTTTTACAGGAACACCCCCCAGGTGTGGTCACACCCCAGTGACCCCCTGGAGCTCCTGGTCCCAGGTGAGTCCCATTATTGTCCCTTCCATGGACTGAGGCAACAGACACGTTGTTGGCATCTTTGCTGGGAGGGGAGCCCCATGTGAGAGGTGGGGTCAGGGGAGCACAGGGGCTCCTGGGGCAGAGACACAGAGAGACAGTGAGACCTGGGCCAGGCCAGGAGAAGGGGGTATGGCAGGAGCAGCCCCTGTACTCACGTCTGGTCTCTCAGGTGTGTCTGGGAAGCCCTCCCTCCTGGCCCAGCAGGGCCCCATCGTGACCTCTGGACAGAGCCTGACCCTCCAGTGTCGCTCTGATGTCGGCTATGACAGATTCGCTCTGTCCAAGGAGGGGGCACAGGATCTCCCCCAGAGCCTTGTCCTGCAGCCCCAGGCTGGACTCTCTCAGGCCGACTTCCCCCTGGGTCCTGTGCGCAGCCGCCACGGGGGCCGGTACAGATGCTACGGTGGACACAACCTCTCCTCCGAGTGGTCGGCCCCCAGTGACCCCCTGGACATCCTGGTGGCAGGTGAGGAACCTGTGGGTTCAGTCAGGGACCAGACTCTGCACTGGCCCTGCTGGGGGCGGGGGTCTCAGATGGTCATGACCAGAATAAAAATTCAGGGCCCAGGGAGGGAGATAAATAGAGAGAAATAGGGTTGGAGGGGCGGGGGGAGACTCAGAGAGAACAGAGACAGACAGAGAGGAGGGTCCTCAGAGAGAAGCCTGGTGACCCTCAGGTCAGAACAAGGTGGACAGGTCGCCCCTCACCCACCCTCCCTCTCTCTAGGACAGCTCTCTGACAGACCGTCCCTCTCAGTGAAGCCGGGCACCATGGTGACCTCAGGAGAGAAGGTGACCCTGCTGTGTCAGTCACAGTACCCGAGGGACACTTTCCTTCTGTCCAAGGAGGGGGCAGCCGATCCCCCCCTGCGTCTTCCATCAAAGTACCGAGCTCAGCAGTACCAGGCAGAGTTTTCCATGAGTCCTGTGACCTCCGCCCACGGGGGGACCTACCGATGCTACAGCTCACTCAGCACCGCCCCCTACCTGCTGTCACACCCCAGTGAGCCCCTGCAGCTCCTGGTCCCAGGTGAGTCCCATTATTGTCCCTTCCAAGGATTGAGGCACCAGACAGGGTATTGGGATCCTTGATGGGAGGGGAGCCCCATGTGAGAGGTGGGGTCAGGGGAGCACAGGGGCTCCTGGGGCAGAGACACAGAGAGACAGTGAGACCCGGGCCAGGCCAGGAGAAGGGGTTATGGGAGGAGCAGCCCCTGTACTCACGTCTGGTCTCTCAGGTGTATCTGGGAAGCCCTCCCTCCTGGCCCAGCAGGGCCCCATCATGGCCTCTGGACAGAGCCTGACCCTCCAGTGTCGCTCTGATGTCGGCTATGACAGATTCGCTCTGTCCAAGGAGGGGGCACAGGATCTCCCCCAGAGCCTTGTCCTGCAGCCCCAGGCTGGACTCTCTCAGGCCGACTTCCCCCTGGACACTGTGAGCACCTCCCACGGGGGCCGGTACAGATGCTACGGTGGACACAACCTCTCCTCTGAGTGGTCGGCCCCCAGTGACCCTCTGGACATCCTGGTGGCAGGTGAGGAACCTGTGGGTTCAGTCAGGGACCAGACTCTGCACAGGCCTTGCTGGGGTGGGGGGCAGTCTCAGGTGGTCAGGGCCAGAATAAAAGTTCAGGGCCCAAGGAGGGAGAGAAATAAAGAGAAATAGGGTTGGGAGGGGCGGGGGGAGACTCAGAGAGAACAGAGACAGACAGAGAGGAGGGTCCTCAGAGAGAGGCCTGGTGACTTTCAGGTCAGAACAAGGTGGACAGGTCGCCCCTCACCCACCCTCCCTTTTTCTAGGATGGCTCTATGACAGACCATCCCTCTCAGTGAATCCGGGCACCATGGTGACCTCAGGAGAGAAGGTGACCCTGCTGTGTCAGTCACAGTACCCGAGGGACACGTTCCTTCTGTCCAAGGAGAGGGCAGCAGATCCCCCCCTGCGTCTTCCATCAAAGCGCCGAGCTGAGCAGTACCAGGCAGAGTTCTCCATGAGTCCTATGACCTCTGCCCACGTGGGGACCTACCGGTGCTACAGCTCACTCAGCACCTCCCCCTACCTGCTGTCACAGCCCAGTGAGCCCCTGGAGCTGCGGGTCTCAGGTGAGGGTCCAATGACTTGTGCTTTGTAATCCCAGCCCCTCAGGGCCCTGTCCCCAGGAGAGGTCAGGCTGGAATGACAGTGGGATGTTCTAGGGATGGATGATGACCCAGAGGACATGTGCCTGCAGAGGCTGTTCATCCCGTCTCTACTCCCTTTCCTCTCACCGGGGTCCGAATGCTGCCAGGCAGCAGCAGGGTCTTCGGGGAGCCACAGTGCAGAAGGAGAAGAGTCTGAGTGAGATGGGGACCCCAGGGTCAGCCCCATGTCCTCACCCTTTTTCTGTCCTCATTCTGATGACCCTCTTGGGCCCCAGCCTTGCCCTCCAGGATCCATATACAAAGTTGGTGGGTCATTGGGACTTCTTTGGTCAGAGGGAGCTCAGACCATCAGAGGTCCTAGGATGAGGTGAAAAAAACGAGAGGGTCTTGGGCTGACGTGGGGAATGAGGGTGCGGAAGGCCTTTTAAAAAAGATTTTATTGTTGACACTATTACTGATGTCTCTCATTTTCCCCCCATTTGCTCCCCCTCTATCCAGTCCCTGCCCCATGCCAGGTCTTCTCCAATTATTGTCTGTGTTCATGGGTTACACCTATATGGATCAATGTTCTTTGGTTAATCTCTTCCAGTATCCTCCCCTCCCTCCCCTCTGAGGTCTGTCTCTCTGTTCCATGTATTCATGCCTCTGGACCTATTTTTTCATCAGTTTATTTTGTTCATTGGATTTCACATATCACTGAGATCACGTGATACTTTTCTGTCTGTAACTGGCTTATTTCACTTAGTAAAATAACCTCCAGGTCCCCCCATGCTGTCTAACCGGTCAGAACTCTTGCTTTTTTTTTTTTTTTTACATCCGAATAGTACTGTGTTGTATAAATGTACCACAGCTATTCTTTTTTATCCTCACCGAGGACATTTTTGCATTTTTATCTTGAGATAGAGCAGGAGGGAGAGAGAGAGAAACATCTATGTGAGAGAGACACATGAATCAGTTGCCACTCACACAACCCCATGAGGGGCCAGGGACAAACTACAACTGAGGTACGTTCCCTTAGCGGGAACCAAACCTGGGACTCTCTGGTCTGCGGGCCAACGCTCTAACCATTAAGCAAAACTGGCCAGGGCTGTACTACAGCTTTTTTATTCACTTATCTACTGATGGTCACTTGGACTGTTTCCAAATCTTGGATATTGTAAATAGCGCTTCTGTGAACATACGGGTGCACATAGTCTTTCTGATTGGTGTTTGGGATTTTTAGGTTATATTTCCAGAATTGGGATCACTGGATCAAACAGCAGTTTCATTTTTAATTTTTTGAGGAAACTCCATACTATTTCCCACAGTGGCTGTACCAGTCTGCATTCCCACCAGCAGAGTCCCTTTCTCTCCACATCCTGGCCAGCACTTGTTGCTTGGTGATGTATTGGTGGGAGGAATGTGGCAGGACAGTAAGAAGCTAGAAAATGTTGTGGGCAAATGGAATGGAGAAACAGACACAAGAGAATTAAACAAGGCCAAACAGTTTGAACAGCCTGCAAGAAGACCTTATCTTACCTAACCAAGGGCACTTAAGAGCAAATGATTTATATCTTTTCCTAACCAGAAAATATGTAGTTTCAATCACTCTGGTCAGCAAAAATAGAAAACAAAGGCCCAATTAATGTCATTTGTGGCAGCAAACCCAGGGACAAATCAAGTCTATGGGAGAAACAACAAACCCCAAACAGGTGTGGATGATATCACTTGGGGGATGTTAGGCACGGAAGACTAGTTTTAGGGCAGGAAAGAGGAGAAGACAGAAAGAAGGGAGAGTGAATATCCTCCACTAAATTAAGAGGTGAGCCGTCTTAGGACTTGCCAAACAAGATGATAAAATGCTTGTACAAACATTCCGAGATGGGCCACAACAGTGTAGGAAACTTTGAAACCTAGTCCACTGTTCATGATGTGTAGCAGGGACGGTTTGAAACCTAAAGGGGGAAGGTATAAAACCCTTGAACTCACATTGGGTGGGGCACTCAGACTAGCTGAGTTGCCTGCTTGTGCTTTATGCCAAGTCATTCTTAACACATTCTCTTGCACTTCTTCAACATTGCTGTCTGTCACTTGTGTAAAATGTTTCATGTGAGACTGACAAGAACCAAGGAGGGAACAGCTCTTCCCCCACACTCTGCCACAGGAGGCTGTCAGGTAACAGGCAGGTCTTGTAATGCAGCTCTGGTTTCCTCCCAGGGACCCTCCCCAAACTCTCCATCTAAGCTGAGCCAGTATCTCTGATACCCCAAGAGAGCCTTGTGACCATCTGGTGTCTGGGGACCAGAAAGGCCCAAGAGTACTGTCTGTGTACAGAAAACAAGCATATGTGCTAAGATGGACAGAAACCTCTGTGGCCTAGGGGATAGGGCCAAGTTCTCCATAGAAACAATTATGCAGATAAATATTACTGTACCCATCTCAGTCCCACTGTCTGGTCAAAGCTCAGTGACCCCCTGGAACTGGTGGCAACAGGTGAGAGGACACTCTGGGATCCCAGTCTCACACTCTTCCAACAGGAAGGGGTCTGCTCTCAGGGTGTCTCCTCTGTCACAGCCCAGCCCTGGGAGATACGAGGGAGGTGTGAGCCCCATTTAACACCCTTCTGCCTTCTCTCCTAGGGGTCTACAACAAACCCAGGCTCTCAGCTCTGCCCAGCCCTGTCGTGACCTCAGGAAGAAACGTGACCCTCCAGTGTGGCTCAAGGCAGGGATTTGGCAGGTTCATCCTGACTAAGGAAGGAGAACACAGGCTCTCCTGGACCCTGGACTCAAAACAACACACCACAGGACAGTACCAGGCCCTGTTCCCTGTGGGCCCCGTGACCCCCAGCCAGAGGTGGACGTTCAGATGCTATGGCTGTTACAGGAACAGCCCCCAGGTGTGGTCACACCCCAGTGACCCCCTGGAGCTCCTGGTCCCAGGTGAGTCCCATTATTGTCCCTTCCATGGATTGAGGCACCAGACAGGGTATTGGGATCCTTGCCGGGAGGGGAGCCCATGTGAGAGGTGGGGTCAGGGGAGCACAGGGGCTCCTAGCGCAGAGACACAGAGAGTCAGTGAGACCCGGGCCAGGCCAGGAGAAGGGGTTATGGGAGGAGCAGCCCCTGTACTCACGTCTGGTCTCTCAGGTGTGTCTGGGAAGCCCTCCCTCCTGGCCCAGAAGGGCCCCATCGTGGCCTATGGACAGAGCCTGACCCTCCAGTGTCGCTCTGATGTCGGCTATGACAGATTCGCTCTGTCCAAGGAGGGGGGACAGGACCTCCCCCCGAGCCTTGTCCTTCAGACCCAGGCTGGGCTTTCTCTGGCCAACTTTACCCTGGACACTGTGCGCAGCTCCCATGGGGGCCGGTACAGATGCTTCGGTGGACACAACCTCTCCTCTGAGTGGTCGGCCCCCAGTGACCCCCTGGACATCCTGGTGGCAGGTGAAAAACCTGTGGGTTCAGTTAGGGGCCAGACTCTGCACAAGCTCTGCTGAGGTGGGGGGCGGTCTCAGGTGGTCATGTCCAGAATGAAAGTTCAGGGCCCAAGGAGGGAGAGAGACAGAGAGAAATAGGGTTGGGATGGGCGGGGGGAGATTCAGAGAGAACAGAGAGAGACAGAGAGGAGGGTCCTCAGAGAGAGGCCTGGTGACCCTCAGGTCAGATTAAGGTGGGCAGGCAGCCCCTCACCCACCCTCCCTTTTTCTAGGACAGCTCTTTGACAGACCTTCCCTCTCAGTGAAGCCGGGCACCATGGTGACTTCAGGAGAGAAGGTGTCCCTGCTGTGTCAGTCACAGTACCTGAGGAACACGTTCCTTCTGTCCAAGGTGGGGGCAGCAGATCCCCCCCTGCGTCTTCCTTCAAAGTACCGAGCTCAGCAGTACCAGGCAGAGTTCTCCATGAGTCCTGTGACCTCCGCCGATGGGGGGACCTTCCGATGCTACAGCTCACGCAGGACCTCCCCCTACCTGCTGTCACACCCCAGTGAGCCCCTGGAGCTGCGGGTCTCAGGTGAGGGTCCAATGACTTGTGCTTTGTAATCCCAGCCCCTCAGGGCCCTGTCCCCAGGAGAGGTCAGGCTGGAATAACAGTGGGATGTTCTAGGGATGGATGATGACCCAGAGGACATGTTCCCGCCGAGGCTGTTCATCCCGTCTCTACTCCCTTTCCTCTCACCCGGGTCCGAATGCTGCCAGGCAGCAGCAGGGTCTTTGGGGAACCACAGTGCAGAAGGAGAAGAGTCTAAGTGAGATGGGGACCCCAGGTTCAGCCCCATGTCCTCACTCTTTTTTTGTCCTCCTTCTGATGACCCTCCTGGGCCCCAGCCTTGCTCCCCAGGGTTCATATACAAAGTTGGTGGGTCATTGGGGCTTCTTTGCTCAGAGGGAGCTCAGACCATCAGAGGTCCTTGGATGAGGTGAAAAAAATGAGAGGGTCTTGGGCTGACGTGGGGAATGAGGGTGCGGAAGGTCTTTATAGGGAGCTTTTATTTATTGTTGACACTCTTACCAATGTCTCCCATTTTCCCTACTTTTGCTTCCCCCTCTGTCCAGTCCCTGCCCCATGCCAGATCTTCCCCAATTATTGTCTGTGTTCATGAGTTATGCTTATAGGGATCAATGTTCTGTGGTTAATCTCTTCCAGTATTCCACCCGCCCTCCCCTCTGAGGTCTGTCAATCTGTTCCATGTATTCATACCTCTAGACTTATTTTTTCATCAGAGTATTTTGTTCATTAGATTCCACATACAAATCAGATCATGTGACACTTGTCATTCTTTAACTGGCTTATTTCACTTAGTAAAATAATCTCCAGGTTTCACATGCTGTCTAAAAGGTCAGAGCTCTTTCCTTTTTTTTTTTTAAACAGCTGAATAGTATTCCATTTTGTAAATGTACCACAGCTCAAAATTAATTTTTTCTTTATTAATTTGTTTTTGTTACATTGTTTTTTATTTTTCCCCCATTGACATCCTTCTCCCCTCCCCCCCCACTTGTTACCCAACTTTGTTGTCTATGTTCATTGGTTATGCATACATACATGTAAGTTGTGTGGTCTATCTTTTCCCCCAAAAACCCTCCCCCCTCTCTGACACTTGTCAGACTGTGCCCCATCTCCATGTCTCTGGGTTGATTTTGTTCAGCAGTTTGTTTAGTTCATTATATTCCACAAATAAGTGAGATCATTTGACATTTGTCTTTCTCTGCTTGGCTTGTTTCCTTTAGCATAATACTCTCCAGGTCCTTTCATGCCATCTCAAAGGATAAGAGATATTTCTTTCTTACAGCTGCATAGTATTCCATCGTGTACATGTACCACAGCTTTTTTATCCACTCATCTACTGATGGACACTTGGACTGTTTCCAAATCTTGGATATTGTAAATAGCACTTTTGTGAACAGAGAGGTGCACATATTCTTTCTGATTGGTCTTTTGGAATTCTTAGGTTATATTCCCAGAATTGGGATCACTGGATCAAACAGCAGTTTCATTTTTAATTTTTTGAGGAAACTCCATACTGTTTCCCACAGTGGCTGTACCAGTCTGCATTCCCACCAGTAGAGTCCCTTTCTCTCCACATCCTGGCCAGCACTTGTTGCTTGTTGATGTATTGGTGGGAGGAATGTGGTAGGACAGTAAGAAGCTAGAAAATGTTGTGGGCAAATGGAATGGAGAAACGGACACAAGAAAATTAAAGAAGGCCAAACTGTTTGGACAGCGTGCAGGAAGACCTTATCTCCCCTAATCAAGGGCACTTAAGAGTGAATGATTTATATCTTTTCATAACCAGAAAATATTTAGTTTTAATCACCCTGGTCAGGGAAAATAGAGCACAAATACCAAATTAATGCCATTTGTGGCAGTAAACCTAGGGAGAAATAAAGTCTATGGGACAATCAACAAACCCCAAACGTATTTGCATGATATCACTTGGGAGATGTTAGGTAGGGAAGAGTAGTTTTAGGGCAGGAAAGGGAAGAAGACAGAAAGAATGGAGAGTGTATGTCCTCCACTAAACAAAGAGGTCAGCTGTCTTAGGACTTGCCATACAAGATGATAAAATGTGTGCACAAACATTTTGAGATGGGCCTCAACAGTGTAGAAGGAGACTTTAAAACATAGTCTGCTACTGAAGATACGCAGCAGGGAAGCTTTGAAATCAAAGGAGGGAAAGGTATAAAACCCTTGAACTCACATTGGGTGGGGCACTCAGACTAGCTAAGTTGCTTGCTTGTGCTTTATGCTAAGTTATTCTTAACACATTCTCTTGCACTTCTTCAACACCGCTGTCTGTCACTTGTGTGAAATATTTTTTGTGAGACTGACAAGAACCAAGAAGGGAACCGCCCTTCCTCCATACCTCTGCCACAGGCGGCTGTCAGGTAACAGGAAAGTCGTAATGCAGCCTCTGGTTTCCTCCCAAAGACTCTCCCCAAACCCATAATCTGGGCTGAGCCAGTATCTGATACCCCAAGGGAGCCTTGTGACCATCTGGTGTTGGGGGATCACAAAGGCCCTGGTGTACTGTCTGTATACAGAAGACATGCATATGTGCTAGGAAGGACAGAAACCCTTGTGGCCTGGGGTACAAGGCCAAGTTTTTCATAAAAGAAATTTATGCAGATAAATATTACTGTACCCATCTAATTCCCACTGGCTGGTCAAAGCTCAGTGACCCCCTGGAACTGGTGGCAACAGGAGAGAGGTCACCCTGGGATCCCAGCCTCAGTCTCTTCCATCAGAAATGGGTCGGCTCTCAGGGTGTCTCCTCTGTCACAGCCCAGCTCTGGGAGACATGAGAGAGGTGTGAGCCCCATTTAACACCCTGTCTCCTTTCCTCCTAGGATCCTACAGCAAGCCCAGCCTCTCAGGCCTGCCCAACTCTGTCGTGACCTCAGGAGGGAATGTGACCCTCCAGTGCAGCTCAGCGGAGGGATTTGACACGTTCATTCTGACTAAGGAAGGAGAACATCAGCCCTACAGGATCATGGACTCACAACCAGATCCCAGTGGCCGATTACAGGCTCTGTTCTCTGTTGGTCCTGTGACACCCATTCACAGATGGACATTCAAATGCTATGGTTATTTTAAGAGAAACCCCCATCTGTGGTCTGAACCAAGCGACTCCCTGGATCTGAAGTTCTCAGGTGAGGAGCCCCTGACCCCATCTTTTCTGAGCACAGGAGACAGGTGAAGATGGATGAGAGCAAGGTGCTCTGAGGGATGGTCGTCCAGCAGAGAACTGCCCCGCAGAGGCCCTCAAACCATTGCACACTTCTCTCTGACACCTGAGTCTGGAAGGTGGCAGGTGGTGCAGGGGGAGTGTGTTGGAGAGGCCAAAGGACAGATGTAGGAGAAGAGTCTGAGTTGTGTAGGGACTTCAGAGTTAGCCCCAGACTCATCCTCTCTTGTATTCTCATTTCCAGAACCATTTGGAGGTCCTAGTCTCTCACTCACAGGGCCCATCTCCCCAGCTGGTCACCGAGAGTCTATCAGGGGATCTAATGTGTCCCAGATACTCAAGGATGGGCTTGTGTCCCAGTGGGGCTGGTTGTCCCCGAGCTCTGAGGCTGGCAGGTGATAGGTGGTGTGGTCATAGAAGAGGGAGATGCTGGGGACCAAGCTGGGGTAACAGAAGCAGAGCTTAAGTTGGGAGAAGGCAGCCTCCACCCCTCCCCACCCATCCTGATCCCCATAATGCTCTGGGATGGCAGAGGGGTAAGCGAGGGTCTCTTTTGGGAGGTGGTGGGTTGGTAACTGGGGCACAGGGGCTGAGTGATGTAGGGGTTCAGCCCCCTCTGGAGTCACTACTAGGACACGGTTATCCCCTGTCTGGGACATAGTGTCTCCAAGAATAAAATGAGTGAATTGTAGTCTAGAGTTAATATTTCCTCTCAGTCTGACTCTGACCTCTTTTCATAAGGAAGCCACACAGGACATGATGCTATGGGGACTGTCTTCTCTGTGGCAGTGACAGTAACACTGTACAGGGAGGGACAGGCAGGATGTGGGTCCAGGACCTTTATTGGGGTTGAGTCCTTTAGCTCAGAGAGAGATGGCAGGAGCAAGTCCTGCTTCAGTCCTGGCTCTGCTGCTCCTGCGGGGGGTCAGGTGGTCCCTTCCCTTCCCTGAGTGTTGGGTCATGTCTGTCCATCCCTGGCCCCTCCTGCTCACAGGCTGCTGTCAGATTAGGTGACATAAGAGGCCCCGCAGAGCTCAGGAAGGCAGAGCCCCAGCCCAGCCCCACCTTCCCAAGGGGGCATCAGGGTCCTGCAGGGTGGAGATGGATCCTGGGAGAGACACAGAGTCCACCCCACATCCCTGCCTTTACCATGTTGCTGGGCTGGGGGTGGGGAATAAGGAAGGACCCTCAGCTCAGATGAGACATGGACAAGCCCCTGCAGATGAGGAGCCCAGAGCACAAAGCTGAGGCCCCTCTGGGGCAGCATGAGGAGAGCACAGGGCACCCACAGTCCCGGGTTTCAGCACCAGCCCTGCCCCGTCCAGGCTGGGTGACCTGGGGCACATGACTAACCTCTTTGCCCGGGGTGGTGGGGCACAGTCCCTGGTGCATGACTGTGTGAGGGGAGAGGGATGAATGACAGACCCCAGCAGCTGCCTCGCACACAGTAGGTGCTCAGTAAATGACATCATTGACTCATTCACGACATCACTCACGTCCCAGGTCTCCCATGGTACCTGTATGTCTTGATCGGGGTCTCGGTGGCCTTCGTCCTGCTGCTCGTCCTCCTCTTCCTTCGACACCGACATCAGGACAATGGCAAGACACCAGGTGAGTAGGGAATGGGGTGACCTGGGTCACACAGGTGGGGCTCAGAGCAGCTGCTGCAGGAAAACCAAATAAATAGAGATGATCAGCTGAGGAAAAGATGTCTCTGAAATCCTCAAGTGGAAAATCTAGTAAGAAAACCACTCAATGACAGCACAGGTGTACAAATGTAAGCTAATTTCTTATGGTTTTTCATTTCATGACATATAAAACATACGCACAGTGTGTGTTAAAGTTTCCTTCTTTCCTGTGGAGTCACACGGGGAGGGGGCTCCTAACCTCCCAGGGCTGACATGGTCCCTCTGTGCCAGCCCAGAGAGAGGCTCATGTTCAACCTCCTGAAGGGACTGTGAGCCCAGCGCCCAAGGACAGAGGCCTGCAGATCAATTAGTTCCTGCCCTGAAGACCCCAGAATTTCCCCGACCATGGCCTGGCTCTGTCCTTAACACACCTGTCTCCTCCCCCAGCTCCATCCTAGCTGTGGACGCTCAGGAAGATGACCCTCTGTGGGAGAAAGAAACTTCTCCCTTGGGGGTGGGGGCAGGGGATTTCAAGAGATGATGGTAGAGGGTTAGGCTGGGGGGATGTCAGGGTCAGGGGAAGGATTAAAATTGACATTTTGTGACCTGGCATCTCACCTTACCTCTGGGTTAGTGGTGCGTCTGAGAGCGGGTTAGATCTGCACCCCCGAGATCTTGGGGACCCTGTCAGGAGACTCACCCTGTCTGCCCCAGCAGATGCTGCCATGAAGGACCCACAGCCTGAGGAGATCATGGAGCTGGACTCTCAGGTGAGACCCTGCTTCTGTCCAGGCACCAAGGACCTTCTGTTGTCCAGTTTAGTCCAATGGATTCTTCCCTGTCCTCACATCACCTGGTTCTCAGCAGTGTCCACACTGACCTCTGCTTCTGGTCACCCAGGTCGTCCTGCTGTGACTCACTGCTCCTGGTTTCCTTGTGACCTCATGACCCCTCCTCTGGGGTCCCCTTTGCTGGCTCTTCCTCCTCTGTCTGACCCTGTGCAGCCCCAGGGCTCAGGAAGATGCATGAATAAGTGAATCCCCCACAGGTCCCCAGGATCCCCTCATTCATTCCCCCAGCAGATGTGACGGGGAGCCCACTGTTCACAGCTCTATTTAGGTGCGGTGGTGCAGCCCTGAGTAAAACTGTTTCCACCCTCCTCGAGCTCACCTGTGTGTGAGGGAGACAATATGCAAACAAGTGACAGTGTCCTAGAGAGCAAAGTGCTGTGAAGGGAATAAAGCAAGAGGAGGGGATAGAGTATGTGTGGTGGGTGTGGGGGTTAAGACAGAGAACAGGAGGTGCAAATGTCCTGAGGCAGGACAGGTGTCTTCAGCACGATGAGCCATGATGCTGGAGCTACGTGAGCAAGAGATAGGATGTTAGGACAAGAGTGAGAACCAGAGGCTTTCGTTCAAGCCTGCCTCATCCCATGTCAAAGCAACACCGCCCAACCAACCACCCCCAGAAGTGGCACACTCAAGAAATGGACTCAGTGGGTACCAGAGCCCTGATGGAGTAAGTCTTGCTGTGTGTGGTGGGCCCCTACACAGCTGATCCTTCAAGGTAGTCAGAGGTCAGTGGTATAGCCAGTCCTTGCAGTTGATCAGCCTGAGTGAGTTCCGCTCATTGATGTGCCAACAATCATCAATACTAAATTACAACAGAAGTGTGTACAGTCCACATGAGAGGACACCTCGAGGGCCCAGCTGGGGTGATCAGGAAGGCTGTGTCACTGGACCCCACGGTACACCTACTACAATAGGCCATCCTGGGAAGCCTAAGAGACATAGCAACTCTAATACACAGCAACAAATATAGGGAGGCAGCCAAAATGAGGAGACAAAGAAACATGTTCTAAATGAAGGAACAGAACAAAACTCCAGGAAAAGAACTGAACAAAATGGAGATAAGCAATCTAACAGATGCAGAGTTCAAAACACTGGTTATAAGGATGCCCAATGAACTTAGTGAGGGCCTCAAGAGCATAAAAAAGGACTATTCAGAAATGAAGGAGGCACTAACTGAAATAAAGAATAATTTACAGGGAATCAATAGTAGAGTAGGTGAAGCCAAGAAGCAAACAATTGATTTGGAATACAAGGAAGCAAAAAACACCCAATCAGAACAGCAAAAAGAAAAAAGAATCCAAAAAAATGAGGATAGTTTAAGGAGCCTCTCGGACAACATCAAGCGTGCCAACATTCACATCATGGGGGTGCCAGAGGAGAAGAGCGAGATTGCATACCTATTTAAAACAACAATGACAGAAAACTTTCCTAACTTGATGAAGGAAACAGACATGTAAGTCCAGGAAGCACAGAGAGTCCCAAAGAAGGTAAACCCCAAAAAGCTCACACCAAGATACATCATCATCGAAATGCAAAAGATTAAAGACAAAAATAAAATCTTGAAAGCAGCAAGAGAAAAACAGTTAGTTCCCTACAAGGGAGCTCCTATAAGACTGTCAGCCGACTTCTCAAAAGAAACTTTGCAGGTCCGAAGGGAGTGACAAGAAATATTCAAAATGATGAAAAGCAACATTCTAAATGATGAATGTTGAATAAAATATAACCGAGAAAACTCTATCCTTTAAAGCTATCATTTAGAATTGATAGTAATATAAAGAGTTTCCCAGACAAGAAAAAGCTAAAGGAGTTCATCATCACCCAACCAGTATTATATGAAAAGTTGAAGAGTCTTTTTGAAAAAAAAAAAAAAGATAAAAAATAAGAACAATAAAATGGCAATAAATACATATCTATCAACAATCGAATCTACAATCAAAGTGAATAAGCAGAAGAGAAATAGATTCATAGATACAGAGAACGTTTTGTTGGTTGCCAGATGGGAGGGTGTTGGGGGAATGGGTGAAAAAGGTGAAGGGATTAAGAAGTACATATTGGTTGCTAGACTGACAAACCTCAAAGGGAAGGGGGGTGGGAGGGGCGGGAGGAAATAAACCAAAGAACTTATATGCATATACGCATAACCAATGGCCACAAACAACAGTGTGGGGAATGCAGGAGGTGACGCTGGGTTGGGAAGGAGGAGGTCAATGGGAGAAAAAAAGCTGAGATATGACCTCTGAAATACTTTCAACAATAAAGATGAGTTTAAAAAAATAAAATAAAAAATCAATATTAAAAATCACATTTTCCCTCCCCTGCCCAAAGTCAGAACCATAGAAGCATCCAGATGCCCCAAGGCTTAGGAAGTTCCTGCAAATCCATCAGGAAAGGGACCTATTTTATTTAAAGTTAAATCATCACTCTGGCAACATGAGCGCAATGACAGGTCAATAGTGGAATCAGGAGACACCATTTCTGTCTCACTGTCTCTCTGCCGCAGAACACGCACTACGAGGACCCCCAGGGAGTGACGTACGCCCAGGTGAAACACCCAAGATCAAGACTCAGGCAAAGAATGGACACCTCTCCTTCCTCCCTGCTGGAGGGATTTTTGGACACGAAGGGCAGACAAGCAGAAGAGGACAGACAGACAGACAATCAGGTGGGTCTTATTCTCTCCAGGCCCCAGGCTTCCCCAACCCCAGCCACCTTTCATCCTTCTCATTCTCCCCCTGCTCCAGGCTGCTGCATCTGATGCCCCCCAGGATGTAACCTATGCCCAGCTGAACCACTTGGCCCTCAGTCAGAAGACAACAATGCCCCCTTCATCGCCGGCTGAGGATCCTCCAGATGAGACCAGTGTGTATGCTGTTCTGACCATCCCCTAGCCCAGGAAGGACCCTGACCCCACATTCCTGGCAGGGTCTCTGGAAGGCCCAGGGGCTGCCCCCATGGACACACAGCTAGTGACCCGGTCACCCTGGAGACCTGAGGCAGATGCCTATTACCTCCTGGGACCCTCTGGGAGTCCCCCGATTCTATAGTCAAACATAACCAATATGCTTATATTTGGGAAATAGAGCAACAGACTTCTCAATAGTCAATGTGTGAGCTAAGACAGAAGTGAATGTTTTAAATTAAATGATAATGTAAACCTGACACATCAAAGTTATGCAATGAGAAAATGAAAAACCATGAATGAGTATGTTAGAAAAGAAAAAAGCCTTTAGAAATCAGTGGCCTAAGAAAGCTATTAAATGAAAAATTTAGGAAAAAAGATTGCATTGAATTTTTAGATCCATTGATGACCAGATAAGAAAGATGTGGCATGGCCCTGGCCAGTGCGGCTCAGTGGTTGGATCTGTGGCCCACGGACCAGTGAGTCATGGGTTCGAATTCAGTCAAGGGCATGTACCTTGGTTGCAGTTTGTTCCCGGCCCTGATCGGGGTCGTTTGGGAAGCAACAAGTTGATGTGTCTCTCTCACATGAATGTTTCTCTCTCTCCCTCCCTCCCTCCTACTCTATCTGAAGATACATAGAAAAATATCCTTTGTGAGGATTAAAAAACCAAAACAACAACAACCAAAAAGAAAGATGCGGCATGTATGCACAATGGAATAGAAATCAGCCATAAAAAACTGTGAAGTCCTGCCCTTTGAGACAACGTGGATGGACCCAGAGGGTTTTATGCTGAGTGAAGTAGTTCAGACAGAGAAAGATGTTGCTTATATCTGGAATTTTTAACATCAGCAAACCCAAGGAAACAGAAACACACTTACAGAAATGAAGAACAAACTGATGGCCGTCAGAGGGGAGTGGGTGGAGGGGTGGGTGGAAAGGGGAAGAAAGTCAGTAACATGTGATCACTTTTCAGGGAGATGGGCAGCTCCTGGGCTCTATGTGGGGAGCACATTGTGAGATAAATATCAAATCTGTGAGGTACACCTGAAGCTCAGGATTTTGTGTGCCAACTCCACTTTAGTAAAACAGTCACGTAAGAAAGGTGCAGAGATCAATCAAAGAACCTATATGCCTAACCCGTAGACACAGACAGCAGTGTGGGCATGGCCAGGGAGGGAGGGAGGAGGGGGATGGTGGGAAGTGGGGTCAGGTGGGGTGGGGTTGGGGGGAATGGGACATCTGTAATACCGTCAACAATAAAACACCTAAATGATTAGTAAAGGAATCACACATTTTTCTAATTAAAAGTGTACGAAGGGAAAAGATAATAGAAGTTACGACCCAGGACAGACAAAAACAGAGCCAAAAAGTATCTCTTTCCCTTTGCACGGAGGGACCTGGAAAGCATTATAATAAGTAAAATAAGCCAGTCAGAGAAACACAAATGTCACTTAACTGTTGAATCTGATGCACAAAATAAATTGACCAACAAAATAAGTCCCAAGGCATGAAGGCATGGAACAGTTGGATGTATCTCAGAGGGACGGGGGATGGGACAGGAAGAGATAAATCAAAGAACTTCTATACGTATATGCATAGCCCATGGACACAGACAGCAATGTGGTGAAGGCCTGCAGGAGGGGGGAGGGACTGGGTGGAAGAGAACAGTGGGGTGGAAAATGGGGGCCATCTGTAATACTGTCAACATAAAAAATATATTTAATAAAGCAGAGCAAAATCAACAAAGCCGAAAACGTCTATTTTTATTATTATTATTATTATTATTTTTATCCTCACCCGAGGATATTTTTCCATTTTTCGTACAGATAGAGTGGGAGGGAGAGAGAGAGAGAAACATCGACGTGAAGGGACACATCGAGTGGCTGCCACCCGCACGACCCACCAGGGCTGGGGACAAACTACAACCAAGGTACGTGCCCTTAGCGGGAACCGAACCCGGGTCTCTCCAGACCGCAGGCCGACGCTCTAACCGCTGAGCCAAACTGGCCAGGGCGAAAACCTCTATTTTTAAAACATTAATCAAGCTTATATTATCTGAGCTTGAAAACCCTCAAAACATGGGAGAAAGCATGTTTCTAATGCTGAAGATGGAAGGACAGGTAGCATGATGCACTGTGCAGACTTTAGAAAGAATGTAGCAGAGATCGAAACATAGATTAAAGGCATAAAAATATATAACAGAACAAAATTCTGTAAGGGAAGTGGAATCACAAACGTTCAAGAAGATAATGGGTAGTTATAGACCATTCATGGGGATGTAATTACCGCAGAGAGAATATAGTCAGTAATATTGTTATCACTAAGTCTGATGTCAGATGGGTTCTGGATTTATCGGGGTGATCACTTTGTAGTTTAAATAAATGTCAGATCACCAGGCTGCACATGTGAAACTTAAAAGGTCTGAGCCGGCGGGAGATCACATCCACAGCGCAAGGCCAATGTAGAACAAAATGACTTTATTGCACACACCTGGGTCCCGTTGGGCTGAGCCGAACAGGGTTCAGCCTCGAATAACAGTTGGAGTGTAGGTTCAATCCTCTGCTTCTAGCTTCCAGCAGTTCCTGCTGACGTGCTCTGGCTGGCCCATTGCCCACTTTGCAGTTGGACTGGTCTGGTGTCTCGTCCTGCATCTGCTGGGTGACGCATTGTCTTGTGGGTAATCCAGATAATTCTCAACCGTACTCCACAGAAGACTGAGCAAAGGTCATGCAAGCAACACATTGTTCACAGTTTCCGCCTTTTGCAAGCTTTTACCTTTACCCTTTAAAATATTAACCTTGTCAGAAGTAACATAACATTGTACATCAACTGTAATTGAAAAATAAAAAAATTAACATTTTAAAAAAGTTAAAAAAAGAGTAGCAGAACATTATGAACAATTTGATGCCAGTATATTACAAATTGTATTTAAAATGGTCACCTTGAAATGTCAACTTTACTAAGTGGACATGATGAAAAGAAAATCTGTATCACCTTACGTACAGATTAAATACACTGATCTGTCATCAATTATTGTCCCTCAACCGAATTTCTGTGTAGGGAGCTTCATTGGTGATGTCTTCCAAACACTTATGAAATGCACACATATTCTACAATTACAACATCTTTTCTAGGAAAAGAAACAGAAGAAATACATACCAACACTTTTAATCATGTCCAAAAAATACTGACATGATCCACCAAAGGTCGTGGCCTCCAACTGAATACCAACAGGAGTCCCCAACTCGGGGTGCTGCAAAGTGGGGACTCCACCTCAGGACACCAGTGTCAACCGGAAATGGTGCCCCTGTCTCCACGCAGACTTAGTACACCCCTCCCCGTGGCTCATTCTCTGGCTCCGCACCCCCGAGGCCACGCCCCTGGCTCCTGCTCATTGCTGTGAGCTACCTTGCTGTTCTGTAACCAACCATTCCCTCCTGTGTCTGGGCTGTGACCACGTGTTTTACAAACAGCAGCCCAACATTCCTACGTGTTTGGGGTAGAAGTGACGTGTGCCGTGTGCCTTCCATCAGCCCCTTCCTGTGAGGTCTGACGCCCTGATCACCGCAGTGTCTCCAACTGTGTTGTCCCAGGAAACCTGCCCCATGGGGTCCCCTCCTGTCTCAGAAACCACTGCTCCTTCACCCCCAGGCTGAGCAGAGACGTCATCATCACCTCACCTCAGACAGGGAAGAGACTCAGAAAGGGGAAATACCTGCTCCAGGCTGACAGCCCACCCACATCACAGCTCTAATGTTAATTAAACTCCGAACGGTCTCTCACCCAGGGATTGCAGACAGAACCCAGTGTGGTAAGGAGAGAGTTGCCCAAGAGGGGAAGGGGCACCGAGGAGGCAGGGATGACTCAGATGTTCTGAAAGAGGGAGATAAAGAGAAAGCAGTGCTATTGCTAGAAGGAGGAAGTTACTAAAGGGCAGTGTTAGGAAGAAAGAGACCAAACCAGGAGAAAGGTTTTGTTTCCCTCTGTGACTCAGTTAACAGTGTTATAGCATCTCCTCCTGTGTCTGTCTCCCCAGGTGTCATTCTTGATGGACTGGCCACTCTGCTCCCCAGTCACCCAAACCAGGGAGTGAACATTGCCAATTCCTTCACACCCAATCATCCCATGGAAGCAGCTCTGCCCCCTGAACCCTCCACACCCATGTCCCCGGGCCATCCCCATAGTCCATGACCTGCTGAAGACTCAAAACATCTCTTCTGTGCAAACACATATGTCCTCCCTATTTAAAAATATGTTTTCATTGATTTTTAAAGAGAGAGTAGGGAGAGAGAGATAGAAACATTGATGTGAGAGAAACATGGATAAGCTGCCTCCTGCAGGCACTTACTGGGGATTGAGCCCCAAACCCAGGCATGTGCCCTGCCTAGGACCCCTAAGTTCATGGGAGGACACTCAATCCACGGAGCCCCACTGGCCAGGCTCATCTGATCCTTCTCGGCCCCCTCCATGCATCCATCACTGCCTCTAGGGGCTCTTCTAACCACCCTATCTGGGATGATTCTCCCCGTGTGCAGCTTTTCCACAGGAGACCAGCATCCAAACACAAGATCTAAGCTCCTCTATTTGACTGTCATCACCTGGGGAGAGAAGGTGACCTGCAATGTTGCCCTGTGTGGTTGGATGCCTCCATCTGCACAGGGAGGGGTCACTAGCTTCTCCCCAGCACCTTTGTCTGCAGACCATGTCTGCACCCTCTCAGGCCAGCATCACCATCAGTCCCGTGATGACAGACCACGAGGGGTCCTTCATGTGCTACAGCTCACACAACCCCTTCTCCTACCTGCTGTCACACCCCGGTGACCCCTTGGAGCTCATGGTCTCAGGAGAGGAGCCCACAGCCCATGTCCATTGAGGAGCAGACTTTCAGCTCACAGCCTTATTCCAGGAGAGCTCTGGGCTGGGGTGGGATGGAAGAAGAAATGGGGAGTCATCCACAGTGGGGTCCACCTGAGGGAGGGGTGGGGA